ACGGTTTTCCTCTTTCCATTTTCGGATTTTCTGTATAACTGGATCTCTCTCTTGTTCTTCCCTGATCTTGGTAGGCGTCCAGTCGTCGTTGATCACCGTCGTTCTTAGCACTGCTGCTTCCTTGGATTCCGTTTTGTTGCAGTGGGAACACTCTGCTGGGCATGGCCTTCTGGAAAGAGAATCAGCGTTTCGGTGGCTAACTCCGGCCCGGTGCTCAATCTTAAAATCATATTCTTGAAGTCGTTCGATCCACCTGGCTATCTGACCCTCTGGATTCTTAAACTGCATCAACCACTTAAGGGCGGCATGGTCGGTTCGGATTAAAAACTTTCTTCCATAGAGGTATTGATAGAAGTGCTCTACTGATTTCACTACTGCCAGAAGTTCTCTTCTCGTGACGCAATAATTTCGCTCAGGTTTTGAGAGAACTTTACTAAAATATCCAAGGACTCTTTCCTGTCCTCCTTGAATCTGAGACAGCACTCCTCCAATTCCCACATTACTTGCATCTGTATCTAAGATGAACTCTCCTTCTGGCAGTGGATACCCTAAAATTGGTGCTGTGATTAAATGCTTTTTTAAGGTTTCAAAGGCATTCTGGCAGTCTACATCCCAGCGGTATTCTCTTGCTTCCTCTGTAAGTCGCGTTAATGGTTTAGCGATATCTGCAAACTTCTTAATAAACCTCCGGTAGTAAGTACACAGTCCCAGAAAACTTCTCACTTGATGTTTGTCAGTTGGTTTTGGCCATTCCTTAATAGAATCGATTTTTCCCTTATCCACGGCCACTCCTTCTTTACTGACTATATGACCCAGATAATTGACTTTACCTTGAAATAGCTGGCACTTCTTGGGGTTTAACATCAATTGGGCAGCTTTAAGTCGATTAAAAACGTTTTCTAAATTCTTCAGATGGTCTTCAAATGTCTTCCCCAAGACGATTATGTCGTCTAGATAAACTAGGCATGTTTTCCAAGATAACCCTCTCAACACATTTTCCATAAGTCTCTCAAATGTCGCAGGAGCGTTACAAAGTCCAAATGGCATAACGTTGAATTGCCATAATCCAGATCCTGTGGTGAAGGCTGTCTTTTCTTTATCTACCGGGTCCATTTCTACCTGCCAGTATCCAGACTTCAAGTCCAAAGTAGAAAATAATTTACTTCCAGCCAATGTGTCTAATGTGTCATCGATCCGAGGCAGAGGATAACTATCTTTCTTGGTAACGTTGTTCAGCAAACGGTAATCCACACAGAACCTCGTTGTTCCGTCTTTCTTCTTAACCAGGACCACCGGAGAGACCCATGGGCTCGTAGAAGGTTCTATCACCCCGTCTTTCTTCATTTCCTGAACAATCATTTCAGCTTCCTCTCTTTTCGCCTGTGGTAATCGTCGAGCTGTTTGACGAATTGGCTTAGCATTACCAGTATCAATTTTATGCTTAACAACGGTAGTTCTTCCCGTCTTTCCTCCTTTCGGTACGAAAATATCACGATACTGCCGAAGAAATTCCCTTAATTTCCTTTTCTCAATCTGATTCAGAGACTGTCCAGCAACCGCAACCATTTGATCGAATTTATCGTTGGAATTATCAGACGTTGTTGTCTGACGGATTATGGATGTGACAGGTACACAAGTTCCTACTTTTGTCTCTTTCTTGATGGTCACTGGGTAGTCATTGACATTAATAAGTCTCACAGGAATTTCTTTAGCCGAAGTCACTAATTCTTTTCCAATTATGATTCCACGGCCAACTTCGTCGTCATGATTCCAAGGCTCCATCATAACAGGTGTTCCTTCGTCCACAATTCCCTGTAGCCGCGCTACTATTATCGTTTCACTTCTCGCAGGCACGACTGTATCTTCTTTAACGGCTGCTTGCATAGTGTTGTCATCATGTGGATGGAGAAATACCTCCTCGTTACCAACTTTGATTACCTTATTCTTAAAATCCAATTGGAATCCATGCGTATTCATTACGTCCATTCCTAATATAACATCCTCTTCGATGTCAGCAACTATAACAGTATGGACGAACTTTTCTGCTCCAATTCCTAATTGTACCTGGATTTCTCCATGAATGTTGGCATTTTCACCTGTGGCGGTCCGAAGTCGCAACCTCGTTGGTAACAGTTTCTTTCGGCTGTTTATAACTGTCGGGCGTATAATGGTTCTGGTCGCTCCAGTATCCACCAACAACGTATGCTTTTTACCATTTATTTCTCCATCTACATATACACTATCTTCACGACATTTCAAAGAAGCTATTAGTATCAGAGGGTCTTTGGTAAAGTTCTGGGTCGAAGCTGCCCCCCTAAGGCCGACCCGTTCTAGTTTTCCTGATGGTGAGTTTCTTGATTTGTGTCGTACCTAGGATGCTTACATGAACTTCGTACGTGTCCTATTTCGCCACAATTCCAGCATCTTATGGTCTTCGTTTTCTTGTATGTCATGCTTTTCATCATATTAACGAGCTGGTCAAGTTTATCTTCATCTTCTTCCTCTTTTACAGTCCTAACTTTACTGTAACCGCCAGAGGCCTGCGTAGCTGACTCGTATTCGAGGGCGGCGGATAAGACATCAACCAGCGTCTTGTGACGAGCTAATCGTAGTGTTCTTTGCATCTCATGATCACGAAGACCATCAATAAACGTTTGAACGGCCAACTTTTCCATCATGTCTTCGGGAGCTGTTGGATAAGCATATCGCACTAATCTGGCAATATCTACTTCATATTCTTGAAGAGCCTCATCTTTCTTTTGTCTTCGATTTTTGAGCTGCGACTGATATACATGCTCCAAGTGTTCGTGGCCATATCGCATATTTAACCTCTTCTTCAGTTGTTCGAAATCATCCGTCTCCTCTACGGCTATGGTCTGGAGCACATCTAAGGCATCTCCTCGAAGAGCGATAGTCAGGTTTACAGCCTTTTCTTTTTCAGACCATCCATTCGCTCTTGCAGCTGATTCGAACTGTTTCATGTAGTTGTTCCATGATGATTTTCCGTCGAAAGTTGGGACTTTGACATGAACGGAACTTCCGCTTCCTTCAAATTTCGGCCGTGTTTCCAACTTACATTTTGTCTCGTCTTCTTTTATCTCTACCGGATCTAAAGCTACCGTATTAATTGGTGGTAGCACTCTCGTGTTAGTTATCATGGTCTCTAACTGTTTGATTTTCTGTTCTACTTTATCGAATGTTTTAGAGACTTCTTCAAACTTCTCACTATTCTGAATACATACTTCGTCGAATCTTCTAGACATATTTTCAAATTTCTCGTCGTTTTGCCTAGCTGTTTCTCTAATAATTTGAGAAGTTTCATCGAATCTTTTGGAAACGTTCTCGAATTTATCATCATTTTTTCTAGAAGATTCTTCAATTTTTTTAGAAGTCTCTTCAATCATTTCCGACACATTTTTTATTTTCGTTAAAACTGCTTCTTCTGCTGACTGGAACTGGAATGTCTCTGGGTCTTCTCCATTCTTGTTGAGAACAGTCTTCAGTCGTTCTTGGAGGATCTTCTTGGACCCGCTGCAGTCTTCATCGCGTTCTTCTAGTTGCTCACGCAACTGTTTCACTGAAAGTTCTACTAGCAGCATCTTTGGTCAGGCACACACGTACTTTTTAAATGTTCTTTCGTACAACGATCACTACTGGACTACGCGGATGTTCCCGACGAACAATACCTTTCAAAAGTTCAAAAGTCTTTTTCAAAAATCAAATTAAATTTATCTACAATCCCACTTTTTCTGACACCACTGTGGAGTTTGTATAGTTCTAATTTATTGTCTATATTCTAATTTATTAAAACTCACGATAACTAATTACGAATTTATTAAAGTCTTTATTAATTCTAATTTATATTACAAATAATAATTTATGTTTCGTTACATTTAAATATCGCGGTTGCCGAGCTTCTTATGACTGACTGCCAAATAAAAATCTTTCATTTATATACACAACTGTGTCATCTAGAGAATTCGACGGACTTCCTGAATAGTCTCGTATTTTGGTGAAGGCGCTCGACTCGTTTTTCAACCTCGAGACGTGGATGACTCACTAAAATTAGTGTCTAGAGATTTCTGGTAAACAACTGGTAGCTAAGCTCAGGTATATTTTGACCTACAAATTACGAGAATCAATAAAAAAGAATTAGTCATAAAATATTTACAGTTCTATATGCCATAACATTTAAAATCGTAACAGTATAACTATTATCGTTAGTTTTCCGTATATTTTATATTTTTAAAATAAAGTTGTTTTTTAAAATCTGTTTTTCGTGAACGAAAGCTATATATATATATATATATATATATATATATATATATAACGAAAGACTTTTTCGGTTTTGGTGTTTCTACATCGAAGTGCGTATCTAAAACCAATCTACATCCTTTAGTGGTACTCTACGAGAAACAGCAGCGTTCCTGAGACAACACAAGTCAGAAAAAAGAACGAGGTGCTCCAGATTAAACTGTAAGTTCCAAAAGTTCCTTTTTGCCTTTCCTTCCTTTTATTTAATGAGGATATATCCTTTATTTTCAATTACATTATTGCGAAACCAGTAATTTATTTCACTATTTTTGTTTATTATTGCTATTTAATTATTTTATGAGTGACTTTGAAGATTTATTAAATCAATTTGATAAACTTGCTCTAAATATTGTTGACAGTGAAAATATAAATTTTTCTGATAATATGGCTACTTCAAACTCAAGTATTAACTGGGATTTCCTTAAATCTAAAATTACAAATATTGGACCCATGATGGTGACTCTAATACAATAAATAAATTTATTACAAGATGTACTCAATTAGTTGAACCATATGCTATATATAACGAGGCAGCTTGAAATCAACATATTTTGGAATGTATTCAAGAAAAATTAATTGGAAAAGCCGAAGCTTTAGTAGGAAATCGGATGGAAATATCATCCTGGGATGATACAAAAGGGACATTAGAACAATATTTCGCAGACAGAGGTGATATGGACTGATAAATGCAGAAATTAATGAGGCCAAAACCGTTTAAAAACGAATCTCTCTACGACTTTGGAACAAGAATCCAGCTTCGTAAAAGTAACGTAACCCAAAGAATAAGCACTGAAACTAATCTACAGCAGACTGATAAGTTGTGCCAAATTACCCATTGTGATAAAATTGCGCCTAATACTTTTATTGCAGGTTATACAGGTACTCTTAAAAACAATATACATTTGAAAAAACCAAGTGGTCTTGAAGATGCTATAGCATACATGACATGAATTTTATAATTTTGAACGTTTGTATGGACAATCCAGTAATAGCTTTCCAAGAAATAACTATAATTTTAAATCCCAAATTTTTTTTTATCGATCAAACAATCAAACCCGGCTGCATAATCAATATGTAAATACGAATTCTAACTAACGAATCCTAACGAATCGTCATTATCCAACAAATCCATCCTACATGAATTAAAATCAAAATGGCCTTAATTGTAACCAATATACAGGTGATAAAAATCCCAATTTATTTATTTCACTCTGGGCCCACATTTCCTAGTCACCAATCAACGTAAGATCACAACCTCAACCATATCAAAATCTTCCACATACTCTCAATCTTTTAGAGTACAAAGCGATGTGTTCAGACCTAATGCATTCCTAGTAATAGATTACTTAGGCTCCAACCAATGTGAGTAACAACCAGAAATACAGTTAATCTAAATGCGCAACCAAATTCAATAGATAGATTTAATAATAATAGAAGCAATTGCTTTACTAATAATAATTATTCAAAACTCAGAATTGATAGTTGAATAATTATACTCAAATAATTATCAAAATGGAAATCATGAAGCGATGAAGAATATTTCGAAAATTTCTCTCATGAATTACAACAAAATGAACCTAAGCTAGATCAAAATTCGGATACTTACCTCGGAAGAGAAACAGTTAACATGAAAATAAATCTTAATAATCCTTTACCGTATATAAAAATAGAAAATCCAAAATTAAATTTGATTGTAGAAAACTATTGACATAACTACTGCACCAAAATTATTAATTACCAAGCCGAAATACCGGCAGTTCCAGAATTTAAAAGTGATCATTACATTAATTATATCTTCTATGATTTCCACGATTATTTTGATGGAATCTTAGGATTACAAGACATGAGAATAAACTTGAATATAGATTTTACTAATAAGGTATTACTTAATAACAATGCAGTAATTCCAATTAAATTTAGAGGACCTATGGACATTAAACTTATTATAAACCTCAAGAAAACTCTTTAATGTATTCTCTTCCTGTAACCATCGCTAATGGAGAAATCTTAGTGAAAGAAACAAACTTAAGCAAAGTTCATATACCTGAAGCTTGACAATAGCAAAAAATGGTTACGCAACAATGGAAATACAAAATACTACGAATAAAACTCTAAAAATGACTTTACTAAACCCTCTAGAACTACTACTAGAACTCATGGCTAAAATACCTAAGGAGATGGTTCGACCGCTCGTCCGCAGAAATCTTCCTCTAGAAGAAACCCTCTAGAAGTATACCCATTTTAAAAACCTAATTATGAAATATATAACTTTACTTATTTAAAAAAAATGGCAATAAAGCCAAAAACAGTAAAAATAGCATTACATTCACGTCCAATGTTAAGTACACCATAAAAACTACGGATGAACTGCCTATACACTCTAAATCTTATAGATATCCTTATTGTTATAAAGAATAAGGATATCTAAAATCCGTCCTGGATTCGACGACGAATCCAGGAAATGTTAGAAAAAAGAATTTATAAGATCGTCACCCGTATGGATTGTAAATAAAAAACTAGATGCATCAGGACAAACAACATATCGTCTCGTCATAGACTATAGAAAACTGACTGAATGAAAAGACGATTTCTGATAGATACCCAATTCCAAATATTACCGAAATTCTTGATAAATATGGAAGAGCAAAATCTTTTAGTGCTTTGGATTCAGCCAGTTGATTCCACCAAATTGAGATGAGTGAAAACTCTATAGAAAAAACAGCATTTAGTGTGGAGAATGATCATTACGAATTTCTAGTAATGCCATTTGGTCTCAAAAACTCACCATCTACATTTCAGCGAGCAATGGTTGAAATTTTAAAGCACCTAGAACACAAGATATGTATGGTTTATATGGACGACATTATAATATTTAGCACAAGTTTACAAAAACATATTCAAAATTTAAAATTAGTATTTTAATTTAAGTAATATTCAAATTAAGTGAAGCATGTTTAAAGATTCAACTTGACAAATGTGACAAATTTCTTGGTCATGTTGTTACACCTGAAATCATTAAAGCCAACAAAAACAAAATACTAGCTATAAAAATTTTTCCAATTCCTCGAATTCAAAACATATTAAATCCTTCCTTGGACTTCCTGGCTATTATCGCAAATTTATAAAAAATTTTCTAAACTAACTAAGTCCTTAACCGTTTGTCTTAAGAAAGGTAATAAAGTTAAATACACAAAGGAATTCATTGATTGTTTTAGTACATGCAAAAACTTGTTAACATCTTAATCAATCCTCGCCTACCCAGATTTTAATAAAACATTTGGAATAATGACGGATGTATCCCAATATGCTATTGGACCTGTTTTTTACAGGATGGACATCCCATTTCATATGTCTTTAAATACTTTAGACTCTACCTATTTGGAAGTAAGTTCACAATTTTAACGGATCATAAACCATAACAATGGCTTTTTTAACTGAAAGAACCAAATTTCTAAGGAACTCTTAACAAAGTAGCTGATTGTCTTTCATGAATAATACAGATAATGAATTAAATGTTTTAGAATCAGAATCTTCGTGTGTAATCTTGACGATCTAGACGATATAATTCAAAGAGAAATGGAAAACCAATCAAACATTCCAAATCAAGAGATAATTGATCAAAAACGTGATCCAAATGATTTTCTTTTAGCAGAGTTAGAAAATGAGCAAACTTTCAATACATTACCAAATAATAAAAATATAAATATTATATCAGACATGCAAATCGCACCTGCAGACATGAATCAAGAAGAAAACGAAGATTATGGAGATACAGTACGTACGTCAGCCGAAGATCCTATCCTTAATATACCTATAACAGATCGAGCACTGAACTTGTACAAAAACCATATTTTACTAACTACTTGAGAAATAAACAAAGAGTAACGAAAGAAAAGATATTTAAAAATTCGAGACTGTTTCCGGTTTTGCCTCTAAGAAATATGCAACAAAGAATTGTAAATTTCGTTAAAAACTATATAGTCCCGAAGAAACTGTATGGTTTATATTTTAAACCACCACTTAGACCTGAACCATTTCTTGTTTCACTCCAAAATTACTTTTAAAACTCCGCCTTTAAATTTGTACACTGTACAAAGATTTTGGACGACGAACTGACTATCGACGAACAAAGAGGAAAACTGAATTATAATCACATTTATAAGAAGGGACATCGTGGTATAAATGAATTAAAGATGTCATTAAGTTCAAGATCTTACTTGCCTAATATGTCTAAATATATAGAACAATACGTCAACAACTGTCAAACATCTCTAAAAACTAAATATGATAGGAATCCACCAGTTATCAAATTTAACCTTACCAACTGCTACTAAGGCCATTTGAGCATATTCATATGGATGTATTTTGAATATCGAATACACCTTTTCTCACAATAATCGATGCAATTTCACGATATGGACAAGCCTACTAAATTCCAACAATTGATTCCAGTACTGAGTTCAAGAATCAAGACCTCGAAGATTTTTGTAAATTACATAATATAGAGTTACATTTTACCACTCACTCCAAAAAATAGCAATTAAATTCTTTAGTAGAACGTTTTCATTTTACCTTAATAAAACATTTTAGGTGCCACAGAGAAACAAATAAAGATTCATTAGTTGAACAACTAATGAAATATTGCATTTTATCCTATAATAGCTCAATTCACTCTGTTACAAAATTCACACCATTCGAAATTATTATAAGGCCACATTAATAATCCAGATCCATTTGACAATAACGATCATTTAATTTTATTACATTATATTCAAAATCATAAAGAGACGTGCAATGAACTATACAATAAAATTCATGAAAGAAATGCAAAAATAAGAATGCAGCAAATTGAAAAATGCAATACTACAAGGTCAGACCCTCAAGATTATAATAATAAAGCCAACATTCAAACAAAAAGTCGCAATAAAGCATTACATAAGTTTAAAGAAACAACTGTTTTAAAAGACCGCGGTTTGTTCCTGGAAACTGATAAAGGTTTATATCATAAAAGCACAACTCCTAAATCAAGGCCTAATTATGAAAATATTTTGCAGTTTCAACAAAGTGAAGATATGGATAATCCTGATACAAATATATTTGATTCATCAAACGAGTACTGAAAGTGACATTGTCAGTGACATATTCAGATAAAGTAACTCGAGAATCTCTTACTCCTCATTAAATTAGGTACTGTAGATTAGGTAATGTACCTAGATTTATTTATACTAAACACAAATTTGTTCATTATATAGATTTAAATGAAATAGTTAGACAAGTAGAAACTCTAAAAGGTAATTTCAATTTTAGAAGTTTTAAGCAATATATTTTCTTAGTTTTTGCAGAGGATTGTGTTTATTTTGAGTAATAAAAAGCGAATATTTTAAACATGTGATTATCGTGTACTTTGAAACTTCGTATGAATTGTTCCAAACCATGTTCCAAAGTACATGGACGTGGTCCAAAGTGAAAGTTGTATGGACTGTAAACGGTTATAAAAATTTAGACGCCTATTTTTTGGCTTACAGATGCCGAGAAGCAAAACAGACGTTAAAATAATAAAACCTGTAGCCGAAAACGTCGAAAATGCTGATACTGCTGTATTGCAAAAATAGTCAAGTCTGAGACAAGCCAGCGCAGACTTTAAAATATCTAAAGCAACCTTATGCAGACATCTCAAGAAATACAGAGAATCTGGACAAAAACATTTTGTATATGGTGCATCACAAGACGTTAAGTTAGTCTTTACGAAACAGCAAGAGGAAGAGCGACTAAAGTATGTTACAATTTGTGCCAAGATGCATTACGGCCTCTCAACTATCAAACTGAAAAAGTCAGCATATAATTACGCACGTGTAAATAATATTGATTGTCCCTCTTCCTGGGATACAAACCAAAAAGCAGGAAAGGAGTGGTACAGGTAAAAAAATTTTGCATTTTTTAGGTCATTTAG